TGTTCGGCTGGTTGTGTCTGAGCGGCCTTGACCTTCTTTAGCTCACGCTCAGCCGCTTCCGCACGAGCTTCCAAGCTCCAAATGCGTTTATCCTTCTTCTTTATTTCTCGTCGGGCAGCACAAAGGCGCATACCGATTTCGTAGGCGGTGTACAACCCTCTCACTGCCCCATGAACTCCCTCTCAAAACACCTCGAAGTTAGGTCGACCAACCATCAACTGCTGGACTTCGAGCGGAAAGATCTGTCATGTAAACTCGACCGCTACATTCGAGTCCCGAATGATGGAATCTGCCTCTGTCATCAGTCTATTCCCAATGAAAACAGAAAAGCTTAATGGGTGTGGTGGCCAACTAGCCTCATTTCGCAAACGAGGGGAGCTCCCCCACTGGCGCTTCTCCTTCCTTGGCGACCTACTTCGTCGACGCAGAGAGTGGCGCCTCTTGTGTTCTGCAGATGCCCTACCCCCCGTACCGGGGGGGGTTCGCCACTTCGATTCATCGTTGAGTTCAGCTCCACCAGTGTCCTGCTCTCTCCTTTACTATTAAAGAAAAGTTTGGTTGACATTCACGCTTTTTCGACCACGAAGGACAAGCAAAATCGAGTCACTTTGTGGGACTCAATTAAAGTTTCTCAACCCTTTTTAATCACTCAGGAGTGCACCCCCCCTCCCGAGGCGACATCATCAATGCGCGCACTCCAGCGACCACCAATATTTAGCATTATTTGGCTCACGGAGTTCATACATTGGCTGGGATAAGGGCAGATTTATTAATCCGATCAGCTAAATACCGAAGCCTAATGCTGACCGATTTGTGCTGCAGCTACTCCATGAACTAGTAATATTCAGCTCTCGAAGTTCATACATTGGCTGGGACAAGGGCAGATTTATTAATCTGATCGGCTAAATACCAAAGCCTAATGCTGACCGATTTGTGTCGTAGCCACTCCATGAACTAGTGATATTCGGCTCTCGGCGTTCATACATTGGCTGGAACAGAGACAGATTTATTAATCTGATTGGCTAAATACCTAAGACCGAACGACTAATATTCGGCAAGATCACATGTATTAATCTGATCACATTTATTAACCTTTAGTTATCCAATCGGCAGCTATGAAGTAGGAGTACTTGTTCAGCTAAATCAAGGTTAAGTTAATTGCCAAGTTACACTGTCATCTGATCGACAGATATACAGTGGGATTACTTGTTCGGCTAAATTAATTTATACAGTTGGATTACTTGTTCGGCCAAATTAAGGTTAAATTAATTGCCAAGTTACACTGTTATCTAATCGACAGCTATGCAGTGGGATATTTAATTTACTCATGTTATGATCGATAATGAGCATGCATAACAGAAAGTTGTCATTTTATCCAAAGTAATGAAAAGCAAAACTCTTCATTAATATCAAAAATTACATACAACTAAAAGTGAAACGAAAAGGAAATTTTCATTAATAAATTGAGCACAAATAGTACCTAATTTATACATGAAAATTGCCTTGAACCAACAGAGGTCTACTAAACAAAAACACACATTACAATTGAAAATACCTAATAAAACTAAAGTGTCTCCCAAATCAAGCCTCGGGATCAGATTCGAGTGGCTCAACGTCCACTTGCTCGTATGGAATTGGCATGGCCAATGTAACTCTAGCGGCAGCAAGGGCTTTGAGCCACCTGTGTTTGAATCCCCGATTCCCGAATTTGGGGACTTCTTCTACGTAGTTTTCGAGGGCGGCGCTCTTTCTAGCCTCGAACGCTACCGAAGCCTTAGAGTTGGCTTTTTCCTTGGCCTTCTTTAGCTCTTCTAACTCGGATTCCACCTTGGCAAGCGCCTCATTGGCTAACTTGAGTGATTCCTCGCTCGCGTTTGCCCTCTCCTCGACGTCGAATCTAAGCTGGTCGGCGGTTTGAGCCCTCTTCTTCTTGGCTTCGGCTCGAGCACTTTCCATTGTGGCTCTCGCCGCCTCAAGCTCAGCCCTGCTCTGCTCACATTTCGCTTCTAATTTCAAGCGGGCAATTCTCTCAATGGCATCGTGCTGGTGGCGGTCTAATTCGGCTGTCCTTCCAACCGTCTGCAAAACAAGGAGTTAGGATCATCACATACCAAGAAATGTCGTATGCAAATCAAACCAAACAAGGAGTTAAGATCAAGTCGACTACTAGAAGGGCCGGCTGGGCAGCTAAGGCTATTGCCACCAAATCTGACTCGGCACGAAAGGTTGCCTTGTCAGCCGTAAGGAGACCGAGGCAGCCAAGCTCAGCGCCACAGTTGGATCCTTTAAAGCCGACGCTTCAGAGGAGATCGACATGTTTTTTATTTTCGGTTCAATGACAAAAGGAGTAACCACGCCCGACTCCTCTAAGCGTGGCCGTTTATTAGCGGGGCCCTCTTCAGAGACGGCGTCGCTCTTGGCTAGACATTTTTTTTCCCCGGTCTTCTGAAATTGGCTGCTCTTCTGAAATCGGCTGCTCAGCAACCTTTCCCGTCTCGGCCTCATGAACTTGAGTCGTTTCCTCTACAACAATAGGTACAGAAGATTCAGTGGGGGCAGGTCCAAAACGGGTGGCCTAGGCCTTTCGACGGGCGGCCATACGTTCGGTATTTTTCTTTCGTGCCAACTGAGAGAGACTTTCCCCAGCCATACCCTCAGAACCAGCGTCGGAAAGGTCTCCCAAATTCGTGAAAATATCTTTGAAGGCGTCCTCTCGGCCTGATGTGGACAGAGGATCAGACGTGTTCAACTTAACTTCCTCAAAGGCCGAGTTAATTGCTTCGTCAATTTCCTTCGCCAACTGGTCTGGGTCCTCAGCGATTGGTTCGGTAGTTTGTTTTTCTATGTGTTCAGAATCAGATGTTTCTAAACCAATCTGTCTCAGGTTTTTGAAGCGGGCGAAGATGAGGGCTGTGAGATGGTTGTCGCCTCGCGCGATCGGAATGTTGTCCGCCGCTGAGAATATAGTGTAAGTCGGTTTGTACCGAAGCAGAATGTGGGCCACCCTCCCCTGTTTTTGAAGGTTTGGACGGCCGACGAACTGTAGTGCAGTTTTGATTTCTGCGAGCACAACGTCGTCGTCTGAAACCAACACTCTCTTCAAGTCGCTGCATACACAAAGAAAACTGTTAGATGTATATAGTGCCAAATACAGATATGTAAGTGACAGAAGCAAAGTTGGTCTAATCGGCCACCTAGTTCACCTTTTTGCCTTGGCACCGGGTCTAGCGATCTTTACCTTCGCCAAATTTCCAATTGCCGCGGACAACGACCATCACATCATCGACACGCTTGCCAGAGCTAGCAAGCATGGTCACTAAGTGATGGTCAGTATCCTTGGCTTTAAGAAAGTAGCGTCCTAGCCGGCCAGTGGATTTGGCTAGGACGTAATAGTGCCGAACGGCGGGAATACCTAAGTTAATCCTAAGACGCCGATTCAGCTCTATGATTCCCATTATGATATGAAAGAAATTCACGTTGGGCTGGGAAGGGATTAGACCCCAGTATCGTAAAACGGCTCTCAAAAATGGATGAAGTGGAAAACGGACTCTGCCCTCAGCAATTGGCAGGAGGGGAAAAATGATTGTGCTCTCGTCATCCCCTCCATGTTAGTGGTGTTGTCTGCCAAAAGTGACAGATGGACGTCGTCAGGGATGGAAAAATGACGATGGAAGCCGGAGATTCGGTCTGCTGAAAGGAGCTACTTCAGATGTTTTGTCATCATAACCAGCTCGAGGATTATGGAAAACTAAAAGCAAACAAGGAAGCGGGATCGAAAGTAAGGGAGAAGAAAACTTGCAGAAGGCGAAGAGGAAAGACAAGAAATAAGAAGTTGCAGAAGCCGCGATGTGAAGAAGTTGCAATAGAAGGCGAACCAGATATCTTTGAGTACTCAAAACATACATTCGAAGACATAATTTCAAATCACATTAAATAGAGGCAGTGTACCAACGGGTGGGAAAGCGTTACAATGACCAAAAAGCGTGTGCGCATTCTGACACGCATTGGGAAGAGGATTAACCGCCGAATTTTCGACTTCCCATGATAGAAACCAAACACGCCGACTAACTGATGCTAGTGGAGTGTTTGGGGGACAATTTTGGGAGCTGAATATAATCGAATCAATAAGGACGAATAGACCCGTCCGGTCCGGAACGTAACTTCTATTCGGCATTGGTCCTAGTTAATCGAAGAGCCGAATAGAGTAACCGACACTCCAGCCAGTAGAGCAAAGGCCGAGTAGAAGTACGTGTAAAAGATCATGGATGGGCCTAGCCCTAAGGCCCAAAGAGAATACTATAAATATGAGACCATCAATCAAAGAAAAGCAAGTGAGAACTATTACGCTTAACTTAGAATACAAGTAATCCAGAGTGTAGAGACTAACTTGTCCGTCGGAGTGCTAATTCTGGCACCTTGGAGCGTTTATTCCTTTTCAAGTGACTAGCTGAGGATCACGAGCGTCTTCCAAGATCCAAAGAGTATTTCCAAACCACTTCCCCACAAGCTCATTTATCACTTTGATTCCCAAAATTGACTACCCAACTAGCATCTCAAATTTCAGACCAATTAGTCTTATTAGGTCACTTTATAAGGTTCTAGCTAAGGTTTTATCTTATGGATTGAAGAATGTGGTGCCCAGGGTAACTGGTAATGCACAATTAGAGCTGCAAATGAACCGAGCTGTTCATGAATAAGCTCGGCTCGGCTCGGCTCGGCTCGTTTATCTTTATTTAAATTATATAATAAATATATTATTTATATATTAAATAATATATAAATATATATAAATACATAATAATATAAATACATTTTGATATATTAAATAATATAAATAATATTTTTTATTTAAACATTTATATTTAAATAATATAAATAATATTAAAAAAAATTATCGAGCCGAGCCGAGCCGAGCTCGAGTTTCATTAAAATTAACAAAGTGAGCCGAGCTTGAGTCCACCTCCTCATGATTCTATAAGTTGGGATTGCTCGTTTCTATGATGGAAGAGTTTGGGTTTGGGGCTAGGTGGAGAGGTTGGATCAAAGAATGCTTAGTATCTACCAGAGTGTCAGTTTTAGTGAATGGTTCTCCTACAGCTGAGTTCACTCCCCAAAAAGGCCTAATGCTAAGTGATCTATTGTCTCTCTTTTTTTCAATTTACTAGCCGAAGGTCTGAATATGCTACGCAAAGGGCTAGATCATTGGGTCTATTAAGAGGAGTTGTGGTGGGTCATGATGAAGTTAAGCTTTCACATCTTCAATTTGCTGAAGATGCAATAAGTTTTTGTGAAGCTAATATGGAGGAAATCATGGCAGTTAAAAGAATTTTGAGGTGTTTTGAATTAGTTTCAGGTTTGAAGATTACCTTCCATGAGAGCTTCATGTGTGGTATTAGTGTGTCAGAGAATGAGGTGGAGGAGTTTGCATCCAGACTTCATTGTAGATGTCAGAAGCTTCCATTGACTTATCTTGGATTGCCTTTGGGAGCTAGTCCTAGGTTAAAGAAAACATGGAAGCCTGTCCTTGATAAGTGTAAAGCCAGATTAGCTTCTTAGAAGAAAATTTCTATTTTTTGGTGGGAGGTTGACCCTCATCAAGTCAGTGTTATCTAGTCTTCCCATTTACTATTTATTTATCTTTAAGATGCCTATATCTATGGCCAAGGCTATTGATAGGATTCAAGCAAATTTCCTTTGGGGGGCTCTGACTAGAAGAAAGAGGTCCACCTTGTTAGTTGGTATGAGGTAACCAAGAGCAAAGAGAATGGGGGTCTGGGTATTAGGAGAATTCAAGATGTGAATGATTGCTTGTCGGCTAAATGGTGGTGGAGGTTTCGGTTTGAATCAAACACTTTATGGAAAAGAGTATTATGCAACACGTATCATTCAATTGGTGGGCAATGGCTTCCATTTTCATCCATTATTGGCAATTGCTCAAATATTTGGGGTGGAATTCTTAGCATTGATCAATCAAATCCTCATCTTTTGAATATCTTCTTGGAAAATACTTAGGTTATTGTGGGGAATGAGAGTAGAATTAATTTTTGAAGTGATTACTGGTTGGGTGATTTGTGTGTTAAAAATAAATTCCCTGGGCTTTTGAGTCTATCAACAGAAAAAGAAATGTCTTTGAATATGTTGGTGGAGAGGAAGGAGGACTTAGCCAGTTGAAACTTCATGTTTAAAAGAAGATTACTAGGATGGAAGGTTGATGAATTGGACAGATTGGCTACTCTATTAAATCAGAGTATGGTTGGCCTATCAAACAGGGATGGTTGTCTTAGGTAGAAGGCATCTTCATTAGGTGAGTTTACTTTCTCTTCTGTTTACTCTTTGTTTGTCTCTACCTCCCTCCCTCTCATGGTTCCTCAGTTGCTATGGAACAATGTCTCCCCGAAGGGTTCAGTTTCTTGGTTGGTTAGCTTGGAATGGGAGATTAAAGACGTCTTTTTTCCTACAAAGAATTGGGGTGCTTGGGCCAAGTGTCTTTGTTCTCTGTGTGTTCTATAATAGTGAGTTGGAATATGTTTCTCATCAACTCCTAGGGTGTCCGTTTGCTTGGTGAGTTTGGCGAAACCTGATGCATTGGTGGGGACTAAATTGGGTGATCCCTGAAATTGTGGAGGGAATCCTAAACTTGTGGAGGGGCTTCAAATGGATGAATTACCTGAATAAAATCTGAAGGGCCATGCCATTTGTCGTCTTGTGGTTATTATGAAAACACAGGAATGAGATGGAGTTCACAGGGAAACAAATGCAATTGGAGGATTTTTGTGAGTTAACCAAGACAAGAATTGGCATTTGGGTTAAAGCTCATTCTAAGGATTGCTGGTTCACAGTGCAAGAGATTATTAGTAACGTTCAACAGATTAGGTTTGTTGGGTAGGTCTTCATTGGTGTATGCAGTAGGCTTTGGTGTTGATGCTTAGTGTAGAAGGTGTTCAAAATTATTTTTGTTTTTTACTTGGTTTTTGGTTTTTCAAGTCGTGCAAAAGTAGTTGTAAAAAATTCAAACATGACGCACAAGATTTGTCGTTAAATATCTTTTACGGCATACTACAGCATACCGTTGAAGTGAATGACTTTTTATCACTGGTCATAACACGGCTTTACCTTGCACATCGTAGAATCGTTTCCACAACATGTGTTTGGTGCCGTAAAAACCCTTTTTTATTGTAGTGGTTGGTGCCTTACCAACTCCTTGGGTGTGAGTTAGCACATGATTTGGTGAGCTCTTGGTGCCAATATAGTTGGGATTAAGTTGTCTCGCTATGATGTTGTCCTCTTGTGCCTTTCTTTTTATTGATGTAATCTGCTTGGCTTTTTCTGTTTCTTTGCTGGTCAAAAAAACAAAAAAATGTTCAGTGTTGATGTCATAAGTGGGACTTGAAATCCGTTGCTACTCTTTTACCTTGAGAATATCCTAAATTTTGAGATTACTAGAATTGAATCCATGAAACTATTTGTGAATTTTTTGTTTGCTTATATTGTGTTTGAATTATGAATTTAAATAGAAATTTTAGAAAGAGAAAGAAAAATAATGAAAAAAAAATTATATTTCATTCATAGTTGCTTCACATTTTATGTTATTTGTCTTATTGGTTTGATAGCAAGGTTAATAGATTGGGTCCGTCTCAATTTGAAAGAGCATTTGGACTTGGTGGACTCATTTTGGAGCTGACCTCGATAATTTGAACCATTCAATTTTAACATGAATATTTTTTGCATGAATATTCTACGTAACGAGTCTTAAAAAGTGAACATTTTGGATCACTAAAATCTGTCCAAAAAATGAGCCTAGCAAATCCAAACACTCTCTCAAGTTGAATGACCAACTTGAGAGAATCCAATTCCTTATTTATTAATTCATTTATTTACTTATTTTTTGGATAGAAAAAAATATTCACAGAGAGACAATTGAAAATGCTCAAGAATATTGGAATACAATATTTTTATGAGAAGATGAACTTTTTTAATAAACTAAACACACAAATTGACATGGAGAGTAGTATAACAAATATTAGAAAAATACTTCAGACCACTAATTGAAGATCATTAATTGATCACTAATGACGTGACACCATGTGGACCTCACCACTGATGTGATAGTTTGGCCTTTGTCTTTTTTTTTTTTTTTTCTTTTTTTTTTGTTTCATTGCCAGCTCATTAGAGCTGGCATTTGCGCTACCAATTTAGAGCACTGAATCAGTGCTGCAACTATTAATGTTCAAAAAATATTTTACAAAACAGTTTGGTAATAAAAAAAATATATATTTACACACATAACGCAAAGACCAACTGTATAGTTTCATGCACTAAGGTGTTTGATTCATAGATTTTGATTGGGATTTAAAAAGGAAAAGAAAAAATATAAGTAAAATCTGAATAGAATATAATTACATTTCACATATTTTCTTTTCCATTTGTTTCCCAAGTCTATGAACCAAGTACAACCTAAATATAAACCAAGTGCAACCTAAATATAATCATACACCATAATCACTTGCCACCCAATCTGCAAACAAAAATATTTAATCTAATTCCTTCAAATAACTTTTATTTTAAATTGGGTAAATTATATTCATTTTCGCTGAAATTTGAAAGAAAATACAATTATATCATAATATTTTAATTTATTATCATAAAATTAAATCATAAAAGTACCTTAATTTAATTTTTAATTTTTAACCAAATTTATTATTTAATAATATTTTAAATTAAACATGTACACATACACACACACACACATATATATATATATATATAAATATATATTTAACAAATTAAACCAAAAATTAACTTAAACACCCTAAAATTACCTTAATCTAACTTTTAATTTTAACCTCATTTCTCATTTAATAACATTTTAAATTAAATTAAATCAAATTAGACATTTAAGGTTTGGTTAGGAATATGATTTAATTTGGAAAAGAAGATGAAATTGAAAGTATTTTTTATATATATTTGATCTAATTTTTATTTTTTATATATATTTGATCTAATTTTTACTTTGACATGGTATTTTTGCATTACCACTCTCAATTTGTGAGAGTGTAACACACTTTACATTTATCAGAGAAATTGACGGTAATACTTTAGTCCAAAACTATAATAAATTCTTTGAATAGATTTGAACCATACGGGGGTAAAGTACTTGAGGCAAAACCACAATGGGCAAATTGATTTTGGCCTTTTTTTTTTTTTTAATAAAAAAAGGTGCTTTTTGGCCCTTTTTTTTTATTGACAATATAATTTTTTCATTTATTAATAACATGGTATAAATAGCACAACTAAATTATATATCAATAAAACTAGATAACTACATTTTTTTTTAAATCGGTAAAAGTCAACCATTAATTGTTAAATTAATACCAAAAGAGAGTTGAACTCACACCCAATACTTAAGTTTCTCCTTTCATTTCACTATTAAAAATGAAACCCAAAACATTTTCTGAAAAAAGACTTGTGATGGACAAATGCCTAATACGTAGGCTCTAGTAACTAGCCAAGGCAGACAACAATATTACAGAATCCAACAACGAAATAAGGTTTGTGAGATTTTGATTCATGCGTTTGACTTGTTGTGTGCTAAAATAAGTTTTGTGAAAATAATGGATTTGCAAGTGAGTAAAACATATAAGCAAAGGAGAAACAATAATACTAAATGATAAACATCCAATTTAAAATTAATAATGAGTAGAGCAGCCTATAAAATATATTAATCAAGTTAGGAGACTTACAGAGACGATTTAAGATAAATCTAACAGTCTCCTATATATACAAGCTAGAGAGTATGTAGATTTGATAGAGAGATGAGAGGCGAGAATGACATCGGTATGCAGGTGACCTTGAGATTTTCGGGACCTAAGGCGATTTTCAATTTGAGGAGCTTTTTGTATGAAAAAAAAAAAAAAAAATCATTTACTCAAAACTTTACCCTAAAGAAGTATAATGTAAATTCAAAAATTTGACTCTTCCTTGATTTGATGAACATTTGATAAAATGATTGGGGATAGTTCTTGAACACTTTCTCATCAATTTAAAATTTGATGAAAGAAAAGATGAAAGATTAATTGGAGATGCTCTAAGGACGTTTAATTTGGATTGTAAAGTAAATTAAGTGGTTTGAGTGTTTATTTTTAAACCTACTAACACCATAAGAATTAAAAATAAAAATAAAAATTGGGGCCCTTAATATTTGACAAAATTTGCAGGCCAAGGCGATTGCCTTGCTCTCCTTGGCCCCTCGGATAGCAAGAGGTAAGAATGACATCAGTTAATATGTTTGCCCTACATTTTTTTTTTCAACAAGATAAATTTTATTGATAAGAATAAAGAAATAATGGAGACCAAAAAGGCACTACTATAAGCATCACGGCATGGTCCAATCATTTTAACTAGGTTGACACAAAAAGACATGTCCAATCATTTGAAGCACCAACAACACAAATTGGTTGAGGAGAAATCAACTAACTATGTAATAAAATAAAAGCACTGTAAGTCATCCAAACTTTGTTGATATATATTTAAAAAGACCTTCTTGCTATTTGTCAATT